ATTGGATGAGGCCCACCACATTAGGAAGGACCTTCTGCCTGACTCAGTCTCTCGATTCAGATGTTAATCTCACCTCAAAACCCCCTCAGAGACACACCCAGAATAAAGTCTGATCAAAGTCTGGACACTCTGTGCCCTAGTCAAGTTGACACCTAAAATCAACCATCATGGTGGCTAAAATACTGTGCTAAACATAAAAGCAAAATGAATCAAGAACACACTATGTTCCAGAAAGCTTATGTACATTATATTATGAATCCTCAAAGCAGACAGTCATTTTTATTTTATTTTATAGAGACTGATGGATTAAATAAAATATCCAAAGTCACATGGCTAGTAACTGAGAATGATGGATTGAAACCCAGATCAATATAACCCAACTCAAACACTGCCTTTCCAACGAGGTCACAAGATATGTCCCAGGTATTACAATTCCTTGATTTATTTGTTCCTTCAGATCCTAATCATCTTACGATGTTACCCAAATCCATTAAGATTCAGACACTAATAATTCATCCTTCTTTTTTTCCATTGTTTATCAGAGATTCAGGACCCACAGAATACTCAAGCACATACAGACACACACACACACATGTTTGAACACCCTTTACACTAGAGCAAATCCTTGAGTTTCCTCTAAGTACGCCATTTTTTTTTGTCATATTCAAAAGGACTTTATAGATGCTTTCACACAGAGAAAGCTGGTGCTGTGGTGTGTTGGCTAAGTCCCTCCTCCTTCAGGTGCCCTACCTTCCCACCACTACCTGACAATAACTATGAATAGTGAAGGTGTAATGTGTATGCATGAATTTACATTCCTATCTCTGTCTGTCTTTAAGCCTCCATTGATATCCTCACCCATACCCATACCAACACTCCAGTTAACTTGAATATAGGAAAAATGACTACTGTGTTTTCTTTTCAGATGCTTCAGTATGGAGTGATGTGATTTTTTTGAAGGTTGCTTCAGTTTGGGAAGCTCTGAGAGTTGAAAAGTCACATAACTGGTATAGAAAGTGGAATACGAATTAGATCTTCAACAAATAGGGGAGAATATTCCAGGGAAAATGAATAACAAAAGGTTAACAAAAGCCACTCGATGAGGGCAACAGTGGGAGTACAGAACAGCTGAATCTTAGTGAATAAACAGGAACAGTGGGAAGAAAATCTGGAATGACACACTGGGCTAGATGGAGAAGAGTCCAGAAGGCCATTTCAAATATCTGTGCCCTATTCTAGATTGGGGTGTGCAGGAGGCTTTTGATCAGAGGGAGAGTGTAAAATACTCAAATCCATACTTTATAGGTCTCTGTAACTAGGCAGGGTGATTTTACACCAAATCAAATACACAATCTTTTTTACCACTAATTTCTCATTCATCTATCCCTTTGGCAAGCACTGGGGCCTCTTTTATATGCAAGACAAAGTCAAACACCTCTCAGATAGTTGCTGTACAATGAGAGACGAACGTGTTACAGGAGCATCAGGCACCAGCCGTCATTGGAAACACATCACAGTCCCTGCTCGGTACAGCTGAAAACTCCAACTTTGGAATCCACCAGACTGAAGGGTGAGTCCTGGCAGGAGAAGGCCACTTCATTCCCTGAAGTTCAGTTTCCTTCTGTTGAATAAAGGTCATAGCATGCATGTCGTAAGCTCTGGGAAGGTTACCAAGAGATACGGTACAGAGTCAGACACTTAGTACCATTAGAACCTCAGTGCTCTCCCTTTCTCTTGCGTTTCTAAGTAATGGTGAACAAAAGGATGCTGCGTCAGGGCTGCTAAATGCTATCTGTAGTGGGAGACTGTATCTCTATCTGGTTCCAGACCCAAATACACAACTGCCTAACAGACACATCCATCTCACTGTTTCTCATACTCAAATTCAGTATGCCCCAACCTGCCAAAGCCCACTGTGTCCTCATGTCTCCCACTCTGTCCACAGAGGCGTTATTTACTCAGACACTCGAGCAAAATGCCTGAGCTCTACCGAGTTCCTTCCTCAGCCCCCTTCCCCCTAAAATGGCATTCTCACTCACACTCCTGCTTTGCTGTGTGTTCTCTCCCTGGGTGGCCAGACCGACACTTCCAGGTAACTCCCACTTGGAACACATCGAGTAAGGTGGCACAGGGTACGTGCATCAGATGTCTGTTCAATAAACAAACCTATGGTTTTCACGACTTGGTATGCAGAGTACTGGTAGGTTAACCACAAAGGAAGTAAATTATGGTTTGTTGTTAGCCTCCAAAGAGGGAAAGACAGACAAATAGAGATATATTCGGGGGGGGGAGGGGGGGGCAGAGCTAAAGAAACCATTTATTCCACTCAAGGGTGATGTTTACAACAGCAGTCATAGAACAGGTAATGCTCCTCTACATCTCCTGCAAACGATTTGAACAGAGCTAACTGCAAAGAGAGTGCTTCTTCTCCCCATAGGGCTTATGTAGAGATTTTAATGAATTCTTTAATTCCAATAATTCAACCTTAAAGCAGATCTATTCACTTTTCCTTTAACAGCACAATTAGTGCCCAGAAAGTGTATTCCCCTGCATGTTACTAACGTTTTTAATGGACTAAAACTGGAGAACAGAAGTGAGCAATTCAGAACACACTAGTATGTAACAGAACTTCTTGGGTTCATTTGTTTTTCAGGATGTATAAAGATATATTTTCATTAATTAAAAAAAGTTTTATCGAGGTGTGATTGAAACACAAGAACACTGTACGTGTTTTATATATATGACTCCACAAAACCATCACCACAGTCTATGCCGTAAACATACCCATCCCCTCCAGAAGTTTCCTCCCACCTTCTTTATTGATTACTATTATTTTGTGTGTGTGAGAAGGTCACTTAACATGAGATCTACCTTCTTAGTGCATTTTTGAGTATACGATAGGATGTAATTAATTGCAGGCGAAGTGTTGTACAATAGATCTCAAGCACTTACTCATCTCGTATGACTGAAACTTTGTACCCTTTGACTAATAACTTCCTGTTTCCCCTACCCGCCCCTGCAGCCCCTGGCAACTATCATTCTACTCTATGCTTCTATGAATTTGGCTATTTTAAACTCCCCATATAAGCGGTATCATGTAGTATTTGTCCTTCTGTGTGTAATTTGGCTTGGCAGAATATCTTCCACGTTCATCCATGTTGTCACAAATGGCCAGATTTCTTTCTTCTGTAAGGTTGACAAATATTCCATTGTATGTATATACCACATTTTCTTTGTCAATTCATTCCTTGATGGACATTGATGTTGTTTCCATATATCTCCCATCTGACACCTAACAAGTCCAAAACTGATCTCTTAAGACGATCTTATCTTCAACCTGGTCTTCACTTGATCTCTGCTCTTTCTATCTTATATCTGTGTTGGCCCATGTGATCAAACTATAAAACCGGAGAGCCTTTTTGACACCCCTCTGTTTTGTACCCCCATGCACAATCTTTACTTCAGTGTGCTGATTCTACCTCCCAAACTTGTCTTGGATTTACCCACTTACCTCTGCCTCTCCTGCCGCCTCACTCAGTCTAAACCACCACCACCTCTTACCATTAGTACTGAAATACCCCACTCCTTTTCCTCTGCACCTCTGCTTTCACTCTGTTGTATCAATTCTATGCACAGCAGCCTAAATGATATTTTGAAATGTCACTCCTCTTAAGCCAATACTCTGCTTAAATCCCTTTAGGGTATAAACAAGCCTGTTTGCACTTAAATTTCAGATCCTTGTGTGGGACCCATATGCCCCCATGGCCCATGCATTGCCAATTTTTCCAATCACCTGTTCTCTGGCTTCCTCACTATGAGTCAGGAATAGGAGCTTCCTTCCCCACTGATGTCTTTACCAATTCAATGCATGCTGGTGTTCCAGACTCCTGATATCCTCCTTGCTGACTCTCTGTATGGCTAACCCTTCTCATCCATCCTGTCTCAGCCTACACATCACTTCCTCCAAGAATTCATCCACAACCACCGTATATAGGCAGGTATTTAGCAGAGGAACAATCTCTCCCACTTGTTTCCTTCATAGCATTTATCACATGGTACGTGCTTCCTGACTTTTTCCTTGCTGTCCCTTCTCCTCGGTAAATTGCAAGCTCCATCATGGCAATAAGTATGTGTGTTTCATTTACCAAAGTATATGACTTACAGAGTCTCTGCCACATGGGAGGTACTCAGAATATATCTCAAGAACTACTTACTGGCTTACTGGATGAATGAATAAATGTCTTCCATTAGTTTTGAGAGCTAGCTGCTCTTAAAAAAATTAAAGCCTTTATTCAATAAAAGTTTATTTCATGCTCATAATGCAGTTCAATGTGAGTATTCTGATTGTCCTAGGAGACTCCCTTAGCAGAGACTCAGTCTTTTTATCTTATGGTTGCTCCAACCTCAAGATTCCCAGAGTCCTATCCATGCAGCTGTGGATGGGAAAGACAGCAGAGGTCAACATAGGAGGGCATTATGGGGTGGACCAGGAAATGTCCCTTCTGCCCACATTCCTCTGAACACTCATATCACATGACCCATCACAGGTCCTTGCCTAACTGCAAAGGATGCTGGGAAATGTAGTTGAGCTCTGTGTTTGGGATATAGGTAAATGACTCAGTGACCAATCTATCCATCTTTGAAGAAGAATCTTAATCTCAGGCATATGAAGCCCTTTATTGCACCTCAAATTTTGCTACAATTTCTGAGCTACACTTAATCAATACCATATGAATTCATGGTGTGAAGTAAAATTGTCAGGGAATCATTTGGGTATTTCCAATCATTCATTTTAAAAAAGGGGGGGATGGGGGCACTTGGGTGGCTCAGACAGTTAAGTGTCTGACCCTTGATCTCAGCTCAGGTCTTGATCTCAGGGTGGTGAGTTCAAACCCTGCTTTGGGCTCCACACTGGGCATGGAACCTACTTAAATAAACAAACAAGTAAACAAATAACAAATAAATAAATAAATAATTTAAAAATTTCAAAAAGGGTGTGAGTGCTCGCTTTGGCAGCACAGATACTAAAATTGAAACAATACAGAGAAGATTAGCATAGCTCCTGTGTAAGGATGACATGTAAATTCGTGAAGTAAATCCGTATTTTTAAAATAAATAAATAAGTAAATAAAATACATAAATTTAGAAAGGGCGTGAAGGGCAAGTCATACAGGTATCCAAACCCCTGGATGATAGAAAAAAAAATCTGTTTACACTTTACATTTTGTTCTACAAAACACATAGCAAATGAGGAGAATCCTACCATTCTTATGTTCCCAACTCTGATCTGGATAATTTACTGACTGTCAGTTATGTAAGTCTGCAAATGCAAAGTCCCCTACATGCAAAGATTTCTGGTAATAATTTGAGATAATATTCCAAAGTAAAAAGTCCTGACATCTAAAGGGGCAGTGGACAAGTGATTCTTTTTTATTCTTTCTGGCAAGGGCAATGACTCTGAGCACTATGATGATAATTAAGACTCCCCCTTAAATTCAGAACAAATAGGAGTAATAAAAGGACAGGAGACAAGGGAAGCTAATGAAAGAGCGCATACATGGAGCTCAGCGAGCATCCTCAGCAGAAGAGGTATGGGAGTGGCATATTAAGGAGGACCTGGAAACTGAGTAAAAGGTAATAGAATTAATACTATGGTGGGGGAGATATTTGTGCTGGTAAGACAATTCGGGAAAATGTACTCAGACCTTGGAATGTCCCTTCAAGTTTGTGAAGGGCCAGACTGTAAGGGAGCTGAAGCCTCTGTCCACTCCGAGCATGAGCGAGGGCATGATGAGGGATTAGTGAGGCCTGGTGGGCCAGTCTGTTCCTCAGGGTCTTCTAGTGTTTCAGAGTGTTCTGGAAGGAGGTCAACACAGTGGTGCGACCAGCGGCCTGACCTCCGTAAATGTCCTCAGCAGTGCCCACTTAGCCTAGCCATGAAGGAGTGTTCTGTCTCCACCTGGAGTGGCATTCAGGCCAAGACTGTGGTGAGGGCCCTGGGCCAAGCAGGCGATCCCAGCCCAGGCAAGCAGGGGAGAGAACATGGTTGTGAGATGAAACACACCAGGAAAATCTGAATTCCAGATAAACAACAATTTTCTTTTTCAACGTCCCCAGTGTTTCATGGAGCATACTTATACTAAAACACGAGCAGACAAAAACACGATGCGGGTTCGTACATATGTGTGATATGTATATGTACATACATGTGTATTGCGTGTGTATTATATTATTCTGTAAATGTGTGTGTATTCTTGTTAATCTGAACTTCCGATTTTGGAGGTATCCCGCTCTTATGTTGGCCGGATCCACTAACCCTCAACTAGAAGATACAGAGGACAACAATTGGACCGTGTCCTTAGAGAGGCCTTCTTCAGGTTGGAAAAACCAGACACAGTAGCAACACACAGAGCCTCACAAGGCTCTTAGCACCTAGACCTAGTGGACGTTCCCTGACTTAACACCCACACCGCATAGGTGGCGGCAAGCACATCCTGGTCGTGGGCACGTCTCAGAAATACAGTATTCTCCCTCTCTGACTCTGCTCTGTGAGCATGTTGCTTCACCAGCAGTTACTGTGTGTGGACAAAGCCCTTCCCACCCAGAAAACAGAACCAAATCCCTCTGCATTGGTAGCGGCCAAGTAATCAAAGGCAGAGAGGTTTAAAAGAAGGAATCCATTCTATATGGCATGGTACAGTTAGCTGTTTCTTACAGAGAGTACATGTTTCCCTTTCAAATTAAAAATATCACCCTATAAAACCATCTTAGTAGCTCTAATGATAGAGGTTGTGACCCACTGGAGCCCCACATACATCTGTGAAAGGTAATTCTCCACAAACATTGTGGGGTTTCATGGAGTGAAACCTTTGGGGTATGACTCGGCCCCTTTCACAAATAGTCTATTACAGACTTTCTCTGAGAGCTGAATTATAGGGATGCCGTTACTAAACTCACAAAATGTGTGGTGGCTGAAAGTAACCCAAGAGCTTTAAATTATATCCATTTCTTGATGGATCACTAGTCTACTTTTTGGACTTCTTATTGGAATTTAAAAATAGTCCCCTCTTTGGTCTTTTCCATAATCTCATATCAGCCAATATTCCCCAAATGTGACTTCCTTACAGTAAAGTTATCAGGGTAAGACCCATTAACAACAAATGGACTGAAGCCGGCCTCCTGGGTGTTCAATGAGATACACAGCAATAGCACAGAAATGTGAAGACTGGAGAAAGAATGAGTTGGCCTTGGTGGGCAGAGATGCAGTAGGGCAAGGCCATACATGGTGGCTGCTGGTCCCGGGACTAACCTTGGAGAGAATTTGGAGCACATGAGCCCCTAGGGGACATACGGAGACACAAGTGTGGGGTTTCCTGCGGGGTCAGTGAGGTCAGACAAAATTGTACAAAGATGAACCAATATTACAAACAACTGGAATCTGTTCAGATTTGGTCTGAATATGTATCTAAATATAACATAAAATTTATCATAAGTTTGACCTCTATTTCTATATGTTGATTGATAGACATATTGTGGCAGCTTCTGTGAATGCTCAGCCTATGTCTCTTCAGCAAATATCACCCCGGACCTCTGAAGGCGTCCTAACATAAGTACCTATCACCTTCCACATGGGCTTTCTCTCCCTGGGTACCAGCGAACTGGCAGTCCCCATTTCCCATTCCACCCACCTCCCCTCTGGCAACCACCAGTTTGTTCTATGTAGTTAAGAGTTTGATTGTTTTGTTTGCCTGTTTTTTGTTTGTTTTGTTTCTTAAATTCCACATATGAGTGAAATCATATAGTATTTGTGTGCATTATACCCTCTAGATCCATCTATGTTGTTGCAAATGATAAGATTTCATTCTTTTTTTTGTGGCTGAGTAATATTCCTGTGTGTGTATATGGGTGTGTGCGGGTGCACGTGCATACGCCCAAGAACCACATCTTCCTTATCCACTCATTTGTGGATGGACTCTGGGTTTGAGGCATCTTTGATGCTGCCTCCCACAGGTTGCAACAGGACTGACTCTGCAGCCCACACAGAGCTCCTGCTCATTAGCACCTGCATCGGTTTTCTCCTCTACCTGCTTTCTCTTCTCTCCTACCGATGTTTCCAGGGTCACCTTCCAAATAAATCACTTGTCTCAATTCCTTGTTTAGGAATTGCTTCTGAGAATTCAGACAAACACAGAAAACCCTGCTCATGTCTGTCTGTCTACGTGTCTCTTTTCTAGATTACCTGTAAAGTGGCCAAATCTTTAAATGTTAACATGCCTTAAGGTATGTTATCCTCATTTATGTCCATCTGATTCCATCACTTTAACTCTCAACTTTATAGAAAAGGCAGCTACTTGATACTTACCCATTCATGAGAGCTCAGAGCCAGGATGTCTACTGCACTGTGCACTTCCCCTGAAATTAGGGTTGCCAGGTGTGGCAAATAAAATATATATACCACCCAGTTAAATTTGAATTTCATGTAATCAATGATTTTTTTTTTGTTATAAGTATTTCCCATTCAATATTTGGGAAATACTTATTCAAATATATTCATCAAATATATGTTCATCTCAAATTCAAATTTTTGGAGGTGTCCTGTATTTTATTTGACAGTCCTAACTGGATGAATATTAGAAACCTTAGACTCCACAGTCTCAAAATTCCTTTCCTATCACTCAGAATAGTCTTTCTACCTCTTTAGACTTATTCACTTTTCCACCATCACCTCAGTTTCCACCCTGGGAAACTGAGGTCACCTGCTCTGTTTGGTCCAGGATCCCATGTAAGGGAATCAGCCCTCCCTATCAGCTGTTCACCCAATCTAGGGCCTAGGAGTTTGCATACAGAAGGTAAACTCTGCACAATCCACTGATTAACTCACTAAGGTTTTGGACACACCCTCAATAAGCCCTCCCACCCCTGAGCCACACTAGATCACCCTTTAGCTGATCTAGTGAGTGTAAAGTCTAGAATCACATTTTTCAAGCCTCCTTTTTATAGACCCACCCTACTTTTCTGCTTGATGATTTAAGGAATAAGGCCAACATTGCTTCTTTTAAAGCCAGAGGGTCCAGGTCCACCTGCAGCTCCTACAATCTGAGAAAATGCAAATTTATTCAGAAAAGAGGATTACCATGAATGAGAGCAATATGGAAAAGCAACTTTAAAATATTTTTTCTTAATCTTGAAAACCATCACTGGGTTTGGACTAATTGGGTATCCAAGTACTTCATTATGATGGCAGACAAATTTCTACATCTTTTTTAAGATTTATTTTTATTTTTATTTATTTGAGAGAGAGAGAGAGCATGAGTGGGGAGAGGGGCAAAGGGAGAGGGAAGAGTAGACTCCCTGCTCAGCGTGGAGCCTGATGAAAGACTGGATCCCAGGACCCGGAGATCATGACCTGAGCCTAAGGCAGACACTTAACCAACTGAGCCACCCAAGTGCCCCAGAATTTCTACTTTTTGATCATGGAAGGAAGTAGTTGAAGGAGAGAAAAGCAATCAGTTTTCTTTCTCAGAGGCTGAAGTGAAATCTCATGAAACCTCACATTCAAAGTCACCAAAACTTTACTCTTACATGTAAGGGCAGTGAGTAAGGCTTGTCTATCACTCTACCACACAGGGAAGCTAGCAGAGACAGGGGGATGCATAAATTTCTGCTTAAGGAATTGTTCAACTCTAGTTGCTAAACTTGAAGAGGGCCATTGGCCATCTGGACCATGTCCAGAGGAGATCAACCAGCATGCTGAACAATCTAGAAACAGTTCCAGATGATGGACCTGGGGATATTTAACGTGGTGAAAGAAGGCACAAGGGAGACATAAGAGTGATACACAGATATCTGAAGGCCTGCTGTATATATATATTTTTTTTCTTTTTATAAATCATTTAATTTTCATAATGATTTAAAAGGGGTGGCACGTTATCTCTACCATCTGAAGATGAGTAAGCTGAGCTGGAGGGAAGTTAATTGGTCTGCATGGTCATACACCTAGAGAGAGGATGGAGATTGGATGTAGCTGGAGTCTGTGTCCTTAGGTACCATGCACACCACCTCTCCATGCATGAGTTTCTAGCAAGTGTGGGGCATGTTCTCCCAGGG